GTAGTGTCCCTGTGCTGGTTTACATTACAAAATGCCTTTCCCTGACTTCTTGCTCTCAGTTGCTCTCCCAACGCCCCAAAAAGATGCTGGCTAAGAAGTCCAGCACTTGGAGTTGCCTGACCATATAGGAGAGCTGGTACCCGTGCTCCACCTCATTGCTCTGTATTTCTGTGGGCTTGCTTACACAGCTCTCAGTACATCACACAGCTTTCTATGAATTATACCCCCTCCCCCAGCACTGAGACAGGGAATCTGGGGCCTTGGACTACATGGAACAAATGCATGTCTCCAGCCCCAGACCTAACCCTACAGCAAAACTATACACAGGTCACTGTCACAGGTATATTAAAGCCCCCAAAGATGGAGTTGCTGAAGAGTTTTAAATAGCGCTTTGAGACTAATGGATAGCTTCACAGGGTGAAATGTGCCAGCCTGGAGTAGGTCCTCAGCATATAAAGAATCAATGACTGTAAACGAGGAGTTGAAATTGGAAGAGGCAAAGCACAGTGCAGAACTAAAAAGAAATCACTGCACAACTAATGTGATAGGAGAGGAATTGAAATGGAGAAAGGCATCCTATTTCTGTGCCCAAAACAGGTGGAAATGTGAGGAGGAGATTTTCTTTTAAAAAATATTTAAAAGTAGTAAAAGACTTCCCATTTAAAAAATGTTGAGGAAAACCTTTGTACAGCTATGGGGGAAAAGAAAAAGGGGACCTATGATCGTACTGCAAAGGAACTTTACCTCCAAATTCGAAACATGTCACAATGATAAATGGAAAGAAGGTAAACCTCCAAATGCTATGACTACCCTCAGTTCAGTTCTGGACAGATGTTTGATGTATTGTATCTCTCTGTGACAGAGACCTGAGGGTTCAGAGGGGGTTTTTTATTATTATTTAATATTTTAGCAAAACTTGTATAGCTTGTCATGCCAGCAAGGTATTTTTTAATTAAAATGAAATGTATGTATGTGGGGTGAGCCAGAGTTTATGAGGAGCTTCTTCAGGGGGAAAATGAATCAGTCCAAGATTTTCAAGAAGGATTCGAGGCTAAGCTCGAGCTTACTAACTCGGGAGGAATGTAAATTAGAGTGTACTTACCAGGCAGGGAAACCTGGGCTGGGAGTCAGGTTCTCCAGCCAGGGAGGGCATCCGCCCTTGCAGCTCTGCACAGCAGGCAAAGCAGCATTTTCCAGCAACGGGGGCAATAGGAATGGGATTGTGTCTTGACGCAACCCTGTGAAGTGTGTTCTAGGAATACCTTGCTTGAGCAGGGAGGTTGGTCCAGATGACCCCACTGTGGTGCCTGCCAACCTTACCCATTTGGTGATTCTGTTGATTCTGTGTTTCGGTGATTCTGTGGGAGGTGCAGTGAGTTACGTTTAGCACAGTGAAGCCAGAGGCTGGTGGTGGTTGAAAGGCAGCCTCGTGGGTAGCTGGAGGAAGGATCTGGGTAAGAGCCATGAGGTTAGTGGCTGCTAAGCACGTTTACCTGGGAAGGAGAAGGGTCAGGCTACACACCTGGCTGTTGCAGGCTGGAAAAGGGCTGCTCAGCTCCTTTCAGAGGGGTTGTAATGATGGCCAGTGACTGCCAACCCACAAAACTTCAGGCAGGCACTCTTCCTTTTACTCCATCTAAAAGACCATCTTGTGCCCAGATGGAAGCCCTTTTGGAAATCAGTAACAAACTGTCCCCTTGTGAAAATTTTCTGAAGCTGTGAAAAAGCTGCATTTACTAGGTGTCATAAGCTGTATTTTCACGACTTTCCTCTGCATTAGGTAGGCTAAATAATATTTATTACTACATACTTTTATATGTTGTACATTTAGTATTATACTGTACTAAATATCTTTATTTACACTAAATAATAGTAGCTCTTTTCAATGATCACAAACAAGAGCCCTTATTGTCATGAAAATACATCAGAAGGTGTAAGAAGAGCTCCACATTCAGCTTTCCACCATCAACAGTGCTATACTTTATTGGGATCAAAGTGGAAGTGTTCCAATTACCCTAATTCCTTAGTTTGTCAGTGAACTCATCTCTGAGGAGGGATTCTAATCACTGAGAAATCCAGCTGAGAAATGGCATTACATCTGGACATAGGACTAGCATTAGAGACTAAAGAACAAGTGAGATGACCCTTTTTTATAGGCGATTGTGTATAGTTGTGCACCAGGAAAAAAAAAACAAATGTAATTGATGGTAAGAGCAGAAGATGAGAGGCATAAGTTTACTCGTTCTTAAAACGCTTATCGAATGCTATGTCTGTATTTGATTTTCATATCATTCATATTAATTTTTGAACATATAATGCGATCTGTTTTGTCCTATCCTGGTAGATGAATAGCGTTCCTAGTTTTTTTTATTATTTTCTGTGGGTTTTTTATTTTTTCTTCTCCTGTTGATTTCATAATGTGGTATACTTGTAATAAGTACTTGTCCTGTCTGAAATCATTCTTGATAAACAATACATATGAATCATCATTTTTCAACCTTGTTCTGAACCATTTCAAAATTAATAGACTAATTAGTAACCTGGTAAACTATTATCATAACCATTTTTAAAAAACCAACCACTTTGGTGTGGCCAGAAATTGCTATTGAGATAATATCCATGACAGTCTTTTGCAACCCTCTGCCACATCCCAAGACATGAAAGTTTCTCTGCTATGTGCTGAAGCACGCTCTTGTGGTGCGACCCAGAGTGCCAAATATGAAACAGTGACTCACGTTCCTCAGGATTCAGCAATCCTCTCTTTGAATATTTCACATAGCTGCATCCCTAGTCAACCCGCCTAACTTGAGGCGCCTAGCTCTCTCCCCACCAAACGCACCTGGAGTGGAAAAACTCCTTTAAGAGCTATCCCAGTATAGGGATGCACCTGACCCGAACTGGGCCATATATTCAGGTGATGGGCAGAGGCAGGGCAGTGCTCGTCCATCTTTAGTCTAGCTAAATTTCACTGGCTTTTTCTGCCCTTGCAGTGCTTGATATCTTCCTCCTGGTACCATACAGATACCCAGCCCCTGTCCTGGTTTTTCTGATCTGTCTGGAGTTTTAAATCTTCAGCAACACTGGTGTTTGCATTAGTGCAATGCCACAGAAGGATTTTTTAATACTGCCAAAGCAGGATGACAGCCACTGTGTTATGATCCTATATCCAGCTTCATCTTCAGTCTCTCCCCACTACCCAGGGTGTTAACCAGATTATATTTCTATCCATCTTGCGCAAGATGAATATTTCTAAACTGGCTATCCCAGTCTTACAGTCTGCAGCACTTATCTGTGTCCGCAGCATGCATATTTTTATTTAGTCTCCCATCCTTCAGGAATGACTTTTCTTTACCCTTCCTAAAGCAGCAGCCTCTCCAGAGGTGCCCTTCCTTACTACACCTTCTCAAACCCTCATCTTTAAATCTATGTGCAGGCAGATGAGGGGGAGATCCCCTCAGATGGGGACACGCTTCTGCCTGCTTACAACTCTTCCATGCACCTCTTGGTGCTGCAATTATTTTATGCCACACACTTTCTGTTTTAGCATAGGACCGAAACCCTCCCACCAGCCCCATTGCCTTTCCACAGGAACAGCAGCATCAGGGGCATGACAAACCACGAATTCTGCCTCCATCCTGGTCCTCACATGTGTAACTCCAGGAGTGACCCCCTGTCCTGCTCAAGCCATCACAAAAATGGCAGTTTCTGATAATGTCCTTCATGTTGCTATTATGATGCAGGAGAGAAACGAGTTTCACACACCTGTTGCTGAAAGCCCAGCACACCTCAGTGGCATCCCCTGTGCTACGAGAAGTCTTCACACAGAGTTTTATAGTTTTTTACCATTATTTTGCCAGCTGGTTTCTTGGTAGCGAATTGAGCAGGAATTGCATTTTTTCCCCTCAAATATATTTAACCCATCAAGCTACAACTCTTTTTTCTTGTAATTTTCTGTGGGGTTTAAAAAAAAAATTCTCTTTTCTCTACAAAATTTAAAAAAAAAAATCATCCTTTCTCAATATACCAGATAGTTCTTCCCATATAACCTGTCTTACTTTTGGTGTAACCAATTTCTAATATTTATACTGAAAAGTCATGCAGCTAAACCTTCTTCCTTCCTTCCTGCCTGTCTGCCTTCATGCCTGCCTTCCTGCCTTCCTGCTTTCCTTTCTGCCTCCCTCCCTCCCACCTTTGGCTACCCAGACATAAGGCTGTCTTATCATGATTTCTATCTTGAGTACTTCCTTCCATAGTGCTTGAGGAAGAAATCCATTTCCAAGTGAGTTTTTCACAGTATAAGTTTAGCGACATTACCTCCTCTTCTGTTTTTTTCAGAGGCTTATGAAAGACGATGTATCTGTGGAAATGGATTACCAGGTCTATATGGGCATAGTTGCATGTCTGTATGCCTCCATCGGCAGCACCTATGGAATCATAGACAAGCTGGAGTCACTCCTTCACTGAAGTCTCTGATCTCAGCTTCCCCTATCTTGGGAGCAGGCTGGTACAGCATTACCTGGAAATCTTCACATTGGAGTCCATGAGAAAAATCAAAAGAGGAAGAAAGAAAAGTTTATGTGGTGTAAAGCATCCTCCACATTCCCCAGAAAGCATGGGTTGCTCACAGCAGGAGTGCCATAGAGCAGAGGACAGAATCACAGAATCACAGAATATGCTGAGTTGGAAGAGACTCACAAGGATCATCTAGTCAAGTTCTTAGACCTTTACAGGACCATTCTCAAGAGTCACACCATGTGCCTGAGAGTATTATCCAAATGCTTCTTGAACTCTGTCAGGCTTGGCGCTGTGACCACTTCCCTGGGGAGCCAACCACCCTCTTCATGAAGAACCTTTCTCTAATATCCAGCCTAAACCTCCCCTGACACAACTTCAGACCATTCCCTCAGGTCCTGTCACTGGTCACCACAGAGAAGAGATCAGTGCCTGCCCCTCCTCTTCCTCTCAGGAGAAAGCTGCAGACTGCAATGAGGTCTCCCCTCAGTCTCCTCTTCTCCAGGCTGAACAGACTAAGTGACCTCAGCTATTCCTCATTCAGCTTCCCCTCAAGGCCCTTCACCATCTTCATTGCCTTCCTTTGGACATTCTCTAAGAGCTTCATACCTTTCTTATATTGTGGTGCCCAAAACTGTACACCATATTTAAGGTGAGGCCACACCAGTGCACAGCAGAGCAGAACAATCCCCTCTCTTGACTGGTTGAAGATGCTTTGGCTGATGCAACCCAGACATAAAATGCAAATGCAAAAAATGCAAAAGACATTTGCAAACTTCCCCTGTGGACCTGTGGTGGGTCTCTGAAGAGTCTGGAAGGAAGAAAATAGGAAATTTATAATTTTTTTCCGCACTTTTTCTGAATTAAACAGTGGACATTTCCATATAAAGGAATTTACATGTAAGTTTAATTCCTTCTCTTGACAGAATGTAAACCGTGGCCTGGGTAAAGGATTTTTGCATGACGTCTGCTTCTCCTTCTTCCCTTTCTTTTGACAGATAAATATTTCTCTCCCCACAGTCCTGACGTTGAACACCAAGATATATCTGCGTGTGGCCACCAGCATTTGAGTGCTTGCGTTACCATAAGGAGAGATTATGGTGAGCACTAAGGCCTTCTAGTATTGAATAGGGAGAAAATAAAGATGAACAGGATAGCACAATGCATACTTGGTGCAGGCTGGCCAAAAGGAGCTCAGTATCAAGGGCTGTGGAGGTGTTGAGGTGCCACCTGGGCTACCAACTCAATTACTCAGCACAGCTGGAGAGAAAAGGCATGACAGAGAAAATGGTATCAGTGTTTTTGAGTTGTCAAAGGCTATCCGAGGAGAAGGTAAACTCTTTTGGGACCTATTTGAAATTCAGCACATTGTGTACCCATTGTTGACCAGAGGAAATATAAATAGCATTGGTACACTGTGGAACACTTCCAAGCGAGTTTAATTAATGTATAAATACATCTAGGTTACACATGGCATAGCATTTTCCTTTTTTAGACTTTGTAGGTTTAAGTTGTGTTTGCAAATCAGTCTATTTGCACGTCAAAGTGCAATTGTGACACCAATATCACCAGGCCTCATGATCATCACACATATACAGAGGTAAACATGTGTTTTCTCCCCAATTACTGAGACCTTAAGTATTATAGCTCAGCATCTGAGCAGTAGGACATTTGGCATGTTTAACACCAAAGAAACATCCCTCATGGAGTTACAACATTGGTTTCAAAGCTCTTAATTACACCCATCAGGCCCAGGAACAAGGGTTTCATATCTTTCAATCAACTGAAGGAGCCTTCCTGACTGCAGCAGTGTCTTCAAGAAAGATATCTGAACTGAGTGTGGTCTGGATGTGGTCGCTGCGAGAGCAGCACTGTATTATTCATAGGAATATGGCGGGTATGCAAACTCCTATTGAGTTTCCAAATTGCATTCAGCTTTTCCAAGAAGTATTCCTGGCATTCTTTTTATTCAGAGGGGAAAGTTACTCCCATAAAGCAGATCAAAGGGAAAAGGCAGCTTACCACTCATAGAAAAGATCCTTTCCTCCTTTGTGCCCTTTCAGAGTAAGGAAAAGTGACAAACAAGTTCCCTCATTTCCCACGGCAAGGTAGGCAAAGCACAGTGCCTGACAGACACCATATCAAAGGGGCGAGCCATGAGGTTAGGATGATGCACCACTCCATGTCACAAGCACTGCTTAGCCTCCCTTCACTCCAGCAGCACTGGCTCACCAGGTACTATCTTGCAACAGTTTACTTCCATGGTTTTAAATGGGAAGCGCTAAGACGTTCCCTTTCAGGAAGGAGTGAAAGGGCTCAAATTACCTGAACGCACCAAGAAGAAATACAAAAGCATGAATTTAAAAGAGTCTGCGTGGAGTTCTGATTTCTGTCATCAGACAACACCGCTGCTGGCAGTAGAAGGTCAAAGCAGCACCTTTAGGCTCAGGAAATGGAGAAGAAAAGGTGAATCAAAAGAAAGAATATTTAATAACAGAATCAGACAGGGTAATATATTTTCCTCCGCATTTTGTCCCGCAAGCATAGGCAGCCCCAAAGGTGATGGTCATCTCAGCTGTTCCCTGCAGGTTCTCCAGCCAGGACAGATCACCAAGAAACATTGTGAGATGAAGGTGGGAAAAGAGACCCAGATTCATCAGAAAGTCTCTATCGAACTGAGTCTTTATGCCTGATGGTGGGTCAGGTGTGGTGGCCATGGCCAAGCCTGCAGCTTCCCAGGAGAACATGTCACACTGTGAAACCAATCTTTGTAAAGAGTTCCCATATAAACAGCTGCCTCCCCAGTAGGTAGGCACTGGGCACCAGGGAGCTAGAAAGGCAAGGTAAAACATGAATAGAAACATATCCCAGACCATTAAATGTAAGTAGGGTTTTCTTCCGAGTTTTCTCTTCCTCACCCTGCAAAGCAAGAAATTCTGAGAGATCATGGTTGGAGCATAAGAAATAAGGATAAAGGAAAGTGCTTAATTTGTTGGGGGACTTTTTAATTTTTAATTCTGTGCCCCAAAGAAGCCACTGCCTAGGCAGCCAAATCCTATCTGGAATAACTAATAAAGGCAGGAGTTATGGCACAGACCCCCATAGCAGCCCCATCTATCTAAGCTAGTGAAAAAGCAGATGTTTTAGCCTTCTCCGCCCAGGAGGTTGCAATTCCCCTCATGAAGAGCTCTCCAACATTAATTGCAGAGACACAACCTGCCTTTTTATAAGACAAATTAATAATTTTCTTAATCCATCATCAGGATATGGAAGGCTTTGATGCTTTAATTCCTTTCCTGTGACCATGGCAACAACAAAAAGGAAGGGGGTGTTAATTTTCTCATCCATGAGAATTTCAGCAAATAGCATGTTAGCATTCTTTGCCTGTGAGTCTTTGCTGGAGAGGAGTCCAGAGAATTACACAAAAGGCAGGTAACAAAATCAGGTGTTTCAGACATAATGGTATGATGATGGGAGTGAAGCCGGAGCTAGACTTCAGCAACCCCACTCTGGACAGAAAATGCAGAGAGGCCGTAGCACTAAGATTATTCAACCCAGTCCCATCATCCTTCAGGGAGAAAAAACCAGCTCACCACAGTGTTGTGCTGAGGGCATTGAAGCCCACTGATGCTCAGAATGGGAAACCTGTTAAAATAAGTGTGGGTTGACCTACCTTTTCCAAAAAAGAAACAGAATAAGAGGACATGGCTCTTAGTCTGCAGTATAGGTCATTATAGCACTAAAATTGGTTATTGCATAAAAGTGCAGTGTATGCACACATGTCTGTGCATGTATATAAAGATATATGTACATAAACATATATATATATGTGCATGTATGTCTCACATGTCCATACCGCACAGTCTACCATATGTTTGCACATGCACTACTAGCTGTGAAAGAAGTTTCTAGCACTCAGACGGCAAGTCCTTTTTATGTCGTGCATGATTTGCGCATGCACAAGTAAAGACTCTTTCCCCTCCAAAACACTTGGCCTTATCCATACAGCCCCTGAAGAGCAGAGCCCAATCCGTGCCACACACCCTGTGCTGCCTAGGAGGATGTTAGCTCTCATTGACCACAGCTGCGCCGGGGACACGCTCACCAAAACATGTAACTGACCGCAGCACAGAGCTCACACCATCTGACTTACTGGTATAGTCAAAAACCTTCACTTTCTCTCCTAATGAGTGCAATCCCACCCCTTGCACCCACAGCTTCACTTCTGCAAATCCCATCGGAGCAATCCAGGGCACACTCCTGACAGCTGGAGTTCACCCCTGAGGATTGCATACAAAAATGCTCACAGAGCTGATACTAAATGCAGCTCCAATGCTGGATCTTCCGTTGGTTAGGAGAGGCTGGATTCCTAGCATGTGAATCACGCTACATGGTCTGAGGGAGGCTGATTCACCCAAGTTCTACTTTGCTGGAACTAACAGAGCCAAAGCTTTGCCGAGTGAAGGTATCAAGAGTCTAACATGCAGAGTCCTCAAACTGAGCGCACTGTTTGGCTGAGAGGAGTCTGCATTCAGCTACTGTGAGAAGCCCCTGTCTCTTGAGGTCCTGGACTGACATACAGACAGTGGGCTGCCTATTCTGCTTGGAGGTGATGTTTCCCCTGCATTTGCACTCTTCTGTACCTTGAATGTATGGTCTCTGCTTTTTGATACACAGTGCTGGCACACACTGGTCTTTCCAGCCCCTAAGGCACTGAAAGCACAATAAATGCTGAATAACATCTGCTTTCACCAATATTAAATAAAAAAAAAAGTTTTCACTTTATGATTGCTGAGGCAATACAATGTGATTACAGGCAGGCACATTAATATAATGCCAAGCTTCGAATGGGCCAAAAAGTGTCTAAAGAGCACATCTGTATTCACGATTGAGCACACTCTGATCAGCTCTGTGAACTAATCAGGCTTAGCTAGTGACACAAGTTGGGACACTTCCCTTTTCTGGAGAGCAAACCTTCTTTGCTCATTTGTGATTGTCCATGGTGAGACAGCTGGTAAGCACTGTGGAGCTAAATTTTACTAACTTCATGAAGCACCCCACTTGAAATAAGAGTCTGTGCTACCAAAGCAGAAGAGTATCTATCTTTGAAGGGCACTAAGCTTGTTCAGCTGCTCCTCAGGGTTTCCTCACCAGTGGGATGCCTCCCCAAGGATCATGTCCTGTACAACTCTATGGTTTCTCCAGACAACTGCTGTCTGTTGCATTTTTCTGGATCATTAAAACCCACGGCAGCGCTTTGCAGATAGCACTGGGAAATGGCAAACAGTTGCTGCAATGCTGTGTTTCATAAGGAGGGGGAGAAATTTCCACAGAGAATTTTTCACCAGTCCTGAACTAATGTGAGTATTTTACATTCAAAGAATAAGAAAAGTTGATTTAAAAAGTTTTGCAGCTCTCAGGAAATCAGAGATGCAGAGACCTTAAATCATAAAGTTCAGGGGTAGTACTCTCAAATAGCATGCAACCTTAAGATACATGAAAGTGGTTTAGTGATTCTGACATCGTGAGCTGAACTTCCCACAACAGAATTACAATTAAATTTAACTTTCCCTGTGTGCTTAATCTGCATTTCTTGAAGTACATGTGGACCCATTTAATGTCCAGGGAATATTTATTCACTGAAGGTGGCTAGTCACTAACTGATCCCACTTCAGCTTAATACCTTGCCTTTTGCACTACATTCCAACTCCAAAACACAGATGTAAAAGAGTATGCCAGTACCCTTCTACCAGTGCAAATCCCAAATGGAGAAGAATGTGAGCATCTCTCCTGGTTATCACTTAGCTGAGATGCCTATTTCAAAATTCAGGGTGCCTACAGAAGATGGTCAAGCAGACCTTGGACACCCAAAATGCACTGGGAGAGTCAACTGGAGTTAAGCATTATAAATGCCCTCTGAACACCTATAATGCAGAGCGTGGGTCTGTTTAACATTGGTTGTTTACAGTAAGGTCACGGCATTGCCATGTTTTTTTGTGAGCTGCAGAGCATGAGGGTATCTACAGGAGCCAGAGCACTTCTGAGCCGGTGGTAATCTATTTGCTTGGCTGTGTGGGTAAAGCTAATGCACCTTGTAGTTTTGGGAAAATGAATGTTCTCAGGAGGATGGAGAGAGGCACAGATGTATATTTTGTTTACTGTTGGGGATATTAGCTTTAGCACATGCGTGTGTGTGGGCTTAGAGGATTAAGCATGATTGTGCATTGACGGTCAATACTATTTGCATTTTATCATGTGTAAATGATATTAACACAGAAGTTATGATGCAATGTGTAGCAAGTTTCATTATGCCTCATTAAAGCAGCTTTCCCTTGCAAGTGCAAATGTACTGGAAGGCTGACCTAAATGTAGAAGAAGCTGAACGCTGATCCTTATCTTAATGAACAAATACAATTAGCCAAGTGTAAGAGTGTCAGGTATTGAAATGATCCTCTATAATACCTTCTTTCTTTATTTCTCTGCGATGAGCATCTCCTGATGGTATCAGAGCAGCATCTCATCACAACACCTGGCAAAAACTACCTGAGGGTCCGTGAAGCATCATATCTGGGCAGTCAGTCCAGGCCCAGGGTAACCAGTCAGTTCTCCTGCGGTTGGACTTCCTCGAATGTACACTTAGCCTCTCAGGACATCCTGGGGAAGGTTTCTATTTCATGCCTTTCAGCTTCCTTGACTTCTCAAAGAGTGAAGAAAGCCTCAATCTCCTCCACCAGAGCTGGTGTCCCTCACAATGATTGCTCCACTGGCAAATTATGATAATGAAGATGGGAATGAAGGGGTTGCAGGGGATCTTTGTCATCCTTTGGCGAATTCTCTTGACAAATGTGTGGCAAGGACAGTGACATCCTTTCTTCATTTTAATTGCCTTTTGATTTGCAAGTCAAAGACTTTCATCTTGCATGGAGACTCTACTGATGAGCTGGCCTCCTGTCCTCTGGAATTTTCTGCCTAGAAAAGGAGGGGAGAATAATAGATTTCCAGGGTAACCTGTTCCAGTGTTTCACCACCCTCATTGTAAAAGATATCTTCCTTCCATCGAGTCTGAATCCACCCTTTTCCAGTTTAAAGCCATTAGCCCTTGTCCTATCACAACAGACCCTACTAAAATATTTGTCCCCATCTTTCTTAAAACCCTGTTGAAGTATCAAAAGACCACAGAAAAGTTTCCCTGAGGCTTTCTTTTCTCCAGGCAGGATAAAGTCAACTCTCTCAGTCTGTCTTCATAGGTGAGGTGCTCTGTTTTCATCTTTGCAGACTTTCTCTGGACCCACTTCAGGAGGCCCATGTCCTTCTTATGTTGGAGGCCCCAGGGCAGGACACAGTGCTCCAGCTGAGGTCTCACCAGAATGGAGCAGGAGGGGGAAATCACCTTCCTCAACCTGCTGGCCACTCTTCTTTTAATGCAGCCCAGGATACGGTTGGCCTTCAGGGCTATGAGCACACACTACCGGGTCATGTCCAACCTTTTATCCACCAGCACACTCAACTCCTTCTTGGCATGGCTGCTCTCAATCCCTTTATCCCCTAGACTGTATTGACACTGGGGGTTGCCCTGACCCACGTGCAGGACCTTGCACTTGGCCTTGTTGAACCTCATCAGGTTCCCCGGGGCCCACATCTCAAGTTTATCTGGGTCCCTCTGGATGGCATCCCTCCTTCAGGTGTGTCAACTGCACCACACAGCTTGCTGTTGTCTGCAAAGTTGCTCAGGGTGCATTTAATATTACTGTTAAATATCTCATTGATGAAGATATTTAACTGTACCAAATAGTGACCCAAGATGGACCCCTGAGGGACACCACTTGTCACTGACCTTCATCAGGACATTGAGCTATTGACCTGTACCCTCTGAATGCGACTGTATGCTAACCAAGTCCTCATCCACCAAACAGTCCACCCATCAAATCCAATTCAGAGAGAAGGATGTTGTGGGGGACAGTGTCAAAGTCTTTACATCTTTAGAAACGACATCTGTAGCCCTTCTCTTGTCCACTGATGTGATCACTCCATTGTAGAAGGCCACAAGGTTGGTTAGGCAGGACCTGCCCTTGGAGCAAAGCCATGCTGTCTGTCTCGAATCACCTCCCTGTCCTCCATGAGCCTTAGCAAAGGCTCTAGGAGGATCTATTCCATGATCTCCCCAGGCAGAGAGGTGAGGATGACAAGTCAATCCCAGGGTGCTCCTTTCTACACTTTTTAAAAATCATTGCAATATTTCCCTCTTTCCAGTCACTGGGCACCTCACTGGACTGCCATGACTTTTCATATATCATGGAGAGATATAGGGCTATATGGAGAGATATATGGATTTGTATAATTGCACCACTGAGTACAAGTTGTAAGAGCTGATGCCGCTCCGGACTTGACTCCATTGATTAACAGGCACCATGTGCAACACATTTATATTTTGGGACACAGGGACTTCTTCCCTCTCAGTTAGGAAAGGGGATATTTTGCTTCATCAGAGCAATGGAAATTTGAATCTTTGTGCGATTCTGCATCAAAGAGACATCTGGGACTGTCTGGGCTTTTCCAGGCAAAGAGCTGCATCAGAATTGATTGCCCAGACGATTTCAAATGAGTATTCACTGAGTGCAATGATTAAGGCTACTTGTGGACGTTTATTTCTAGTCTAAAGTCTTATAAAGTTTTCAAAGCAACAAAAATTGTCTTACCTGCTTATGCAATTATATAAGCACATCCTGCTTCATCCAGCCTCTATCCTCAGTATTTTTTCAAAGAGGCAAGTAATTTCATCTGGATTTGAAAAGCTGATTTAACTAGAGAATTTAAGGTTAGATTTGGGAGAGGCTTGGGCACTGACATTCCTGACTTTTAAGTGATCTGGCCTCCAGGAGCTCATGAACCACACTGAGACTCCCTGCGTGATTGATGGCGGTAGTTGGGTGCTTCAAGACTTGAACGCAACCGGGCCGGCAGGACACAGGGGGATCTTCTGGAAGAGAGCATGCAGCTGCTTACATTCAAGCAACAGGAAAAGTGGAGGACAAGGGTGTATCTGCAATTCTCTCTTGCACTAAAAGCCCCTTGAGGCTGGAGTGAGGCAATCCTGTCTGCCTGGGATCCATTGTCTGGAATCTTCTCCTGGAGATTGGTACCTACGCCCTTTCTTTCAAAAGACTCCACACAGATCAGTCTTTTAAAAACAAAGCAGGAAGAAGAAAAGGTGGTGATAGCTTTTATTATATAATGCCTTGGTATTCAAAGCATATGCTGAGGAAGTGGGAGGCCCAGGTTCCTCTCCCGCCTCAGCCCGAGGGGCCCAAACCCACATCTCCCACATCCCATGAGAGCGCCCCAACAGCCAGGCTGGAGGCTACCTTGGGCGGAGGAGCCTCCTCCACCCCTGCTTTGAAACTGCCACACTCCAGCCAGGAATGTCAGACTCAGGAGGGTGGAGGGGGGGTGTGGGGGATAGCAAGCAAAAAGCACGTGCCTAATGCCGAAACCTCGCTCTGAGGCCCGTCACCAGGGAGTGGGGAGCCCCAGGCTGCCTCCTCAGTCTCCTGACAGCCCTTATTCCAGGAGATTTACACGCTGACTGTGGGTTTTGGCATCCAAATTCCTCCTGTCTCACTGGAATCGTGACTCCAGGAAAGGCTTTCAGCAAGGTGGCACTGCGATGGGGGGAGGAGAGGGTCTCTCCCCCAGGCATCCTTGCCCCTGAGGGCACTTTCTTGGGAGGCAGCAGACAGGGGGGTCCCCTCCCTCCCTTGCTCTGTGGGTGCTCATACGTGTGCAGTCTTTTGGAGCTGCCATGGCGCTGCATGGGGAGGTTCCAGGTGCAGCTACCAGGGCCCACCAAGCCCCTGAACAAGTAAAATGCTCGTTTACTTCACACCAGGGAGGCTTTGGCAGGCAAGAGGCACTAGACTGCCAGTTCTGGCAGCTCTGGGGACCCCAAGGAGCGTGGCTCAGGATACCTGGGTGAGCTCCAAGGCAAAGAGTCAGGTGTTTCAAGGACTTGCAGGCAATTCCAGGGTTAAGTGGCAGTGTAGTTGAGTTTTCCAGACAAGCTGCTTGAACACATGGATTTCAGCTTGGTTTATACCCTTTGGTTTTGATCTTACCTACAGCAGAGGAGGTTTCTTTTTTTCCAAGCAGGCATGCTGGGTGGCAGACAGGGAATTAATGTCCCATCCCTGATGTTAGTCAATAAATCAGCTCCTCACTAAAATTCGGGATTAAGGGTCGTCCAGAGAAATCAAAGGGGGAAATCAAGCGCTTTCCTCAACTTCAAGGCAATGGATTAGAGAAGAGGGACACACTCATCTCAAATCACTCAGATATGAATTGGTGTTAAAACTCTAGCACGGCTGATACTTCTCCCAGCCTAAGATCAACTTATCCAGTCAAAAAAAAAAAAAAAAAAAAGGAATTATGCAAACAATTTAACAGCAGGGGCTAGTCTTTATTACAGTCCCCTCAGGACGGGCAAATGAAAAGTCCTGAACAGCTACCAACAACAATAGCCAAAGTTACAGTAACAGGGCTGAAATACTTTGTGAGCTTGGCAGCTGTCACGCTCCAAGAAGTCATGAAAAGGCACATAACACTTAGCAATATCTGATAGAAGTTTGCCTCAGTATCAGTTCCTGGGAAAGGTTAAGCTGATAATCGCTTCTTCAGAAAAAGAAAAAAAAAAAAGGCGAAGAAAAAAAAAAGCTGGAAGGAAAAGCAGACTTTCTGGTAAATCTGTGACAACAGCATCAGCAGCTCCAACTGGTTTGTTGCCCATTCCTTTTGGCAGCCCAGTGAAGTCATCTCCCAAAGATCTACACCTCTCTGTTAAGTAATCGTGGCACTCACGTTCATTTGGCTGCAGGAAAGCCGTCCCCATTAGCCAATTAACTAGCCCACTAGGAGGTCCTCCTAAGCACTGTAGCTGTTACACCTTCCTTGCAGAGCACCCATGAGCCTTGCAGCAGGATCCAGCACGTCTTGAAAAGAGCAGAAAACTGCCCTTTTTTTTTTTTTTTTCCTGTGAGACGGAGACCTTTGAGGGAAACCTTGCTATTGCTTCCTTCATGCTCTAGGAAGCTCTCCCTAGGAATTTCTCCTTTTTGGAAGGCTCCTCCTCCAAAATAAGCCAAATTACTCAAACGGGGCAGAGGTGCAATCAGCCAGCACACTCCTAAGGACAACTCCTGTGGGGAACAGGTTTCAGCCTTCCTGGCACAGGATAAACATCTGTTCTTGCTTACCAGCAGCACTTGGCCTTTCACTTTCTGCTTTCAGCAATGTGAACTGGTTCTGCACGGCGTCTGTAGTAAGTTCTTACAAGCACAGAAACACTCAAAGAACCTATGCAGGTAACACCAATGCAGGGAGACTCCTGTCAGCCCTGCTCCATCCCAGCAGACTGCAACTTGCTGCTCTCTACATTCTTTCAGCATGTGAAGAGGCACCTTCCTGTTCTCCCAAGGCTGTGACAGTCTCTGTCGCTGCTAGAAATGGCAGCAGAGACTTTTCCATAAAACTATTTGAAAAATGCAGATTCCTTTCCCTTCTGTGTTGATGTGTATGCATGATGTGACATGCCATTCAAGTAAATCCAGTTTTATTGACAGGAATACTCACAGAAATGAACATATGCATGCACACCCAAAACCAGATGAAAACAAAATTTTAAATTTGCAGGTACGGACATTTATACCAACAGATACAGAGAAAACACTATGTAGTTTCTCTGATCTATTATGAATGTGACTCAAAAATTCAACAAACATTGACTACATACATAAACGTGTGACCTACGCAGAATGCTTAAAAGTAATTGCAAAAGGATTTGTTAAGTAAATCAAAAAAAAAAAAAAAAAAAAAAAAAAAAAAAAAAAAAAAAAAAAAAAAAAAAAGATTGTCAGGAGACGACTTGGATGTGGGAAGAGGCACTTAATTCACTGCATGAATGACTCACAGTGAATTACTAGCATAACTCCACTCAAGGAAATCACTACTCTGCAAAAGTGCATACATGTTAAATCAACCAAAACACAGAGTGGTCCATATTCTTGATACAATGCTGCATTCCTTCTGGTACAGAATGAGGAAAAATCCCCTCAACTGAGCAGGGAGCAGGGAGAAATCCTCTTTTTTGGTATCCTGGCAATGTTTTCAAAAGACAGTTCAACAGCACTCACTTGCCCTATTCATGCTTGGCATTTATGTTAAAAAGAAAATCTGGGCCTCTAATATTCAAGAAGCAGCTCTTGTTGACAATGAAACTTCAACTAATAAATCTGAGGCTGCATTTCCCACCCAACTCAATTTAATGTCATAAGGTAATTACACTCAGGATAAAGTAACTCCTTCCTTCATTTGCTATCTGTGCTTGAACTGTGAGGTACAAAGCCTACTGGAATTAAACAAAGGGAACTATTTTTCACTGTTCCACCTACTTTAATTTCCCATAGCAGGTCTCCAAAACTACAAAAGGGGCAAAAATGTATATATAAAAAAAAAAAGAAAAATGCACCACAGCTCCTTTTAAAGTCTCATGTGCATGACACAACCCACCAGCCATACTTCAAGCATCAAATTCAGCATTATTCTCTAGGAATAGTGAATGCGGAAACTTCAGCTAGTATTCCAGAGCCCTCGTGTTAGGAGCAACTGCAGTAGGATCAGCTGGGCACAGAGAGCATCCCATCCAGAGCAGAGGTCCACATGGTAGTGATGGTGCTCAGGGCAACAGCGTCCTTGGGGAGGTAGGAGAAGCAGGTTTGCTTTGGTGGAGCTGCCCAACACCTAAAGCACTGGCTGCAAACAGCAGACCAGTGCCATGGGAGCTGCAGCCCAGGCCACTCCCACCCCACTGGGGTGAGAGAGCAGGAGCAAATACAAGCACATGGATCCTGCTGCCCAAGGAGACCCCAGCTATGCTGTTGCGAGAGCCCTGGAGCAGAAGACCCAGCTCCTCCTGCTGTTTCTCCCAACAATTCTTGAATAAAATGCATAAATATTCCCTGGAACTGGGACTCAAAATCTGGGATTTTCCTTTGTCCCAGTGCAGACAATCCCCCATGTCATTCACTCATGGCAAATGTTCCCATCAAAAAGATTCTCAATATTATGTTTCAGCAGTACAGTAGATGGAAAGACCCAAGTGGCTCAGGCTAAGGAAAGCCTACAACACCCATCTCCCACTTCTCAAAAGCATGCTCTAAAAACACAGAGTATCCCATGCAGGAGAGAGGAGTTATGGTGCAGCTTTTAACTCAGATGTGTTTGAATAAAATGGGTATGATCCCACTACCCTGCCTTAAGCCCCTCCAGCAACCTAAAAGTAGGATATGCCCTGGCTCCTAAATGGCAGTGGGACTACCTCAAGTTTCTTCTCAAGGTTATTTCAGCATGTGCTGGATCTGTGGCTAAGATCCACTCGGCATTTCGTATCTCAGAACAGGTGAAGCTATTGATTTCAGGCAAATTTGGCAGTTAAGTGGTGCCAAGGTGCAGACAATGGAAACACGATTTCATATATCAGAGTATGGTCCCGATTTTGTGCACATTAATATTGCTCCAAATCCACAAACCAGCTTTGAACATGAAGTTTATGAAATTTATGCTTGTTTTGTGGGCAAATGCCTAAAACACATCTTTTGCTCTGCTTATTATCAGCAGCTCTCTTTCAGGCAAGGAAACAAATCTTCCTCATCCATTTTTAAGAGATTTGCTGTATTACGTTGGAGCACGTGAATTTGGCAAGTGCTTGCTCTGGGAGGATACTGCACATACCACACGTAACTTGTGCTGTGACAACCTAACCCAAATCCACTTAGAGGCAACTAAGACAGCTGCATGGTGGTTGTGAGATAGGCTTCTGGCAGAAATCTGAGAAATTCTCAACACATATTCCATGTTATAAAAGGACAGATAATAACTCCTATTGCACCCAGTCCTAGAACTTGCTGCACAGGAGGATTACTGACAAACACACAACTCATCCATTCCACAACAGAAACGTGCACCAAAACAGCAGACTGAAGGACCTGAGAGAGCTGGTAGACTCAGGGAGAAATTCTGCAGCATTTTCAGAAACAGACAGTTTTTAGAGTGTCTCGATGAACTAAGCAACAAACTCATCAGACAGAAGTACAGGACTGAGAGACGACACCAGATTTTGCAGCTGTGCTGCTAACCCACCTCGCTTCTGTTTTCTTTACCCTTCCACCTTTTGGCTGTCCAGTCCACTGAGCGTGCTTGAGGCAGAGACCATACCCTGTTTGCAGTGTTTCTTCCATCAAAATGTTTGAAAAACTATTTGCAGTACTTTTTAGCAATCGAAGCAGAAAGGTTGATAACGTGATCTGACAGTTTTCAGACTGGAGATGACTGGTAAAACCAAGCTGGATCCATTTTATACCTCCAAGTGGTCGACTTTTAGCTCTCAGGGATAGTGATGCCACTGAGAGGTGTTTGGAGATTTCAGACATGACCTGACTTAGTTCTGCCCAGCATTTCTGCCCTCAAGCACACATTTGCAATGACAACAGAACTCTGCACGCTTCTGAGAAATGCCTTTTATTGTATGACAGCAGTTGTCATGTGAATGTCCACAAAAGAAATCATTCCATAGCGATAACAAAATCAAATTATTACACAAATGCAAGAACTGAACCAAACCAAACCAAACCAAAACCAGAGTTAAAACGAGGAAAATGCAGTGTGCTGTTACACAATGTAAAACATATACAGAAAGCCACACTCTTCTGCTGAAGGGTCAGATGCTCATCACTATCACAGGAAAGATGTCACTTCAACTCTTTCTTCCCCCCTCCAAAAAAAAGAGGCAGACTTTAAAGTGAGATATTTTGAAGATAGTTGCTTTTGTCTTCTGACTCTTCTTGCAACCTCATTTCAAACATTTTGGCAAGAAAAGAACCTGCAACCAGCATTACTGAGGTTGGTCAGAAGGTCCTCCCTCTTCCAAAGGGCAGTATGAATGGTATCACAGAAGGTTATGCCCATCTGGCAAATAGTTCAGTTCACCAAAGAGAATTTTGTCCTTAAAATAAGCAAATAAGCAAAACATGAAATAACCTATCCTGGCTAACTGTGTTAGCTTTGAAAATGCCACCATGTTTTGCTGGCTGCCTGTGGTCCTTTGAGAAGGGTGGAGCCAAGAGATACCAAAACAAAAGCCCAAAAACCAATTCTTGAGATAGAAGTAGAGGCTGTTCCTAGACTTTTACACCAAAGAAACAAAAGTTCTGTAACTGATGATTTTCAGGGTCACTGTATAAAATTATATTTATTAGAAATAAGACTCTGGAATACTGTAAGGCACCTCACGGTGAAAAAATATTTTAAAGGCTTGAATAACTCAGAAGACTGAGTTCTTTTTCCAAGATCCCCAGGAAGAAATGTGACTTACAGTAACCTTCTTTGCTATTTCCAAATAAAGCACAACATTTTTCAAAGTGGAAGTTTAGAACTATTTACATTTTTCTTTATAAGGAAACATAAAACACCTTGCCAGAAAGGTAGTTTATTCATTTAACAGACCAAGACTTTCACTACAGGAAGGCCTTTTTCATCCCTATCTGAGTTTCGCCATTCAGGTACATTGCACCTTTTTACTCAACTGAAATTAAATGGGTTAGTCAATCTCAATCAACATCTGAACAAAATATCTCTTGACAGTTGTACCAACAACAATACCAACAAAAGGATCTAATCAACAATTTCCTGAGTAAAATATTTTGTTACTTTAAACCAGAAAAACGATATCATGCCAGTGACAGACACCAATGACTCACTATCAGTTGTTCTACTCAGCGATTTATGGGTTTTAAGTGTGAGTCTGTAAAAAATTTGTTTTGTCTTATATTGGTATTTGATACCTGCAGCTAGCAGTGCCCTGCCAAAACATGTGAAGAAGCAGAATCAGCGTTTTTAGAGATACCTAACATTTTTGTGCGCATTCAAAAAGCCACAGTATCAAATTAATTCTAGCTTATAGACTGATAGCTAGATCTGTCAGGGTCTCATACCAGTGAGTCTGCAGCAGCCAGCGTTTTGGAGCTTTGCTCTGAAATATAACTTACCATAGATTCATTTCAGAGCTGAAATGAACTAAAACTGTAATTATACCCTTGGTTTACACATGCATATCTCCTTGGTTCTGATAAAAAAATATAAACTCCAAGTACGTATGGCCAGAACGTACTGTTCTCTTATTTAAAAGTCTCTATATTATGCATCACACTTACTCTCTTGTAAGAACTATTTAGAAATAAAAAGAATTCACTTTCGTAAAACACAGTTAGACTCTGAATATATCCACACTGCTCAAAAAAAGAAGATAAACAAATGAGCTCGAGCTCCCAACTCCATGAACCGGCTTACGGGTCAGCTCACCCTTGCTCTGTTTCGCACCACTCCAACCAGGTCTCTCCAAGGCAAAGCTTGAGAAGAGTCTGGACATGGATCCATGGATCCTTGCCAAAAAGGCAATTAGAGACAAGACCATGTGAGGTTGAACTTTCTTCATGCTACACAGTTCCCCAGCACTATCCCGCGTGACTTCACACACTGAGGCACTTTACATCTTCACATGCCTGTGTAACGCAAACACCACTCTACTGAGCTGCAGAATAGTTCTATCTTTATTTCAGACAACTTTAAGGCAAAATCACAACAAAACACAGGAGATGATAACTGTGTGTTAGGATCAAAAGTGGACTGGATGAGCCCAGAGAAGACCAAGGACCAGCAGTACAGAAAAGTGGATGTGGCTGGTGTGTTCTAAGAAGGGTTAGCCATAAGCACTCCTTACATGAGGCCATCTGAGCCATGTGGCTCTGGGGACTGGTAGCTGCCCTTGACTGTCTGACATTTATCACCAGATGTAACACGAGCCTCATGCCGCACATGGCTGTGTGAAGTTCAGTTCCACTGATCTCAGTGGAACTTGTTACAGTGTAAGCTGCTACGCACCACAAAAGAAGTGTTAGGACTTGACAAAAAAAGGCTAGGGACAACAGCATCTCATTTTGTAACTTCCTCCTAACAACATCTAATGATGGGAGAGGATGTTAACAGCAAAATTAGACACCTGATGCTGCAACAGAGGAAGGAGGATTCTGCCTCTCACCATGGGACTGGTTCCTGAGCAGGAAAAAGTCCTCGCAGATGAGCGATTTGCCGAGGCACAGGCTTTGGCCTCAGTTTACTTCTCAGTAAGGAGAGAGTAACTTTGCATTTGATTAAATTATTTTTCTGGTACAACTGCTTGAAATGAGAAACCTTTGTGCTCACCTTACTTTTAGACCGCTGGGCGAACATCGGGTAAATAACAATTGTTTGGCATGACAAAGGTAATAGCAAGCATCTTCAGTATTTTTTAAAAAGCACAATATTTACCATGTCCTGAAGAGATCTGTTGCCTTTTAGTCTCTCCTGTGCCCTTTAAACAGCAAGATGAATAGATGCATTTTCTACTGGACCTCAAAGAGTAGCTCACTAAACTTGAAAAAGTCTGAAGCAGCATAGCACTTGCTTGATTTATATTTCAAACACAGGAATAGTGCCTTTGTGTTAAAGTGCTTTGCTGAATCAGAACATAACTTATGAATATTGAACCCCTCTCTCTCACTGCATTCCTCTCACCATCAGCAACAGCCACTTGAAACTACAGGTTGTACTTCCCTACCTATTCTGGCAGGATGGTAACTTCAAACAGCTTAAGTTCAACAGAACCCCTAATGCAAAACTTTAAACATACTAAGGTTACACATTTTTAACATATATTTAATGAATTTGTTGTGTACCCTGCAGTTACAGCTTTGGCTTGAAGGCACAAATATTAAGGCACAATAAATGCAAATAATGTATACATTTCAATGTGCTGTGTTGAAGATAACTTTGTACTACACGGTATTTAGGTATAATGACATGTCATTCAAATGTTTCCTCAAGTTATTTTAATACCTTTTTTTCTCTGATAACCTGGATAAAAAGAGGAATGTATGTTAAATTATTTAAATATTTCTTCAGTGCAAATGTGGTAGTTTTCTTCTAAAGTACAGAAGATTGAGATTGATTTTTCAGCATTTGGATTTTAGCAAAATAAAACTGATATTTACACTCATCTTGAACAGCATTATTTGAACTATTTATCAAAAAATAAGTATACTTTTTTCTTTCTGCTATCAAAAACAAAAAGTATTTTTGGCTTCTTCAAGTCTTTTTTCTATCAACCTGCATAGCTACTTATAGCAGTTGCTCTGGACAACTAAGTTGCACACTACCGAATCTGCTGTTTAGACACAGTTGTCACGACAAAAGTGACACTGAAAAAATTTTGGTTTTGCTTGTTCTCAAAATATTTTTAAAAGGAAAAAAAAGACACATTCCAATTATTTTAATAAGCTCCAAATATGCACCCTAGACCTGTTAGGTGTCCTGCACCTGTTTAAATAAAAGAGATCTCTACCACGTAACTTTCAAACAAAAACTGAATCTGCCTAATTTCCTTAGCAACACAAACATTATTAGTTGGATAGGAAAACATATTGCACTGAAATTAAAGAAACAGGGACAGTAAAAATTTTCTTCTCAGTATTAAATAGGAAGGATGTCCAGTGCAAAGAATCGCCCCCTCCCTTTCCTCTCCCGCTGACACTTGCAAACATTGCCACTGAGTTTAGATGATCTCAGGGTTACATTCTATGGAAAACAGTTAAGGCTCTTAGGAATCACAGTGCAGTTTCGGTTACGCATAATCCTGAGGAAGGATCCAAGGAGGAGTCTGTGGTGAGCTGACCATTCTGAACAACTTCTGGGTAATTCTTGCTGAAGTATACCTAGAAAAAAATATTAGATTCTGTGAGCAATTATGCCTCAAACACCTTATGGCTTCAAACAAAACTTGTGAAGATAAACAGAGTAGAGATAAATACATATCCTTAAGGAATTCCAAAAGAACTTCAGGTTAGTGGCCTTCAGTAACTGTATGTCACTGAAAAATTAGCAAAATTACTATATGATCTTCCATTATAACAAAACATGAGAAAAATCCCACACAACCTGTAGATCCCCTCAAATTTTGTTAATTCAGATAAATAGATATGTTTTATTGCTTTACATTAAACTGATAAGTAAAAATCATTTTACTAGCTCAAAACATGGAGATAAATTAAAAACAGGATGACAAAGAGGCTGTGAAATCTTGCGACTGCACAAGGGTTTCTCATTTTCACACATAAAATGAGCACAATGGATTTGGATGTTAAAATCAGGTTGTAATCCCTATATTTTACAAACTATGATTGACAACCATTGAAACTTCGAAGTATATGTATGAAATATCCCAGCGTTTAATTTGTGCTGCAGAGCAGTTATAGGGCCTATAGAAATGTGATCTCTGGATAGCGAACCACAATAATGAAAGAAGAAGCAAAAGCTTTAACAATGACTCAACCAAGCAACTTCTCTAAAACGTAAGATGATACCGAATAATAAGACAGTTCTTTGCCAAGCCTTTGAGTTCCTGAATTCTACCAATTTCTAGCTCAACTAGAAGAGATACAGGTTTCCTGATAAATGTATAATCAGAACATAAAGGAAATGAAATGCTGTCAAGTTTCACTGTTCCACAATCATCAGTTTTTAGCAGCTGTATCATATCTCTGTTCCTTGACAGATGCGCATAACAAAATGAAATAATGTCAAGACTTGTGTGCTCTTATCTAAAAATGTGTTTGGGTGAAAAAGGACTTCAAATGTAATTTTTTTTTTCAAAAAAGAATGTGAAAAGTTTTGTTTGAGTCTTTAAAAACAGAAAATACACTATCTTTCTGAAGCTGACACGTGTCATGAGTTAGGTCTCATAGTCAGACTGCTTTGACTACAGCTTATGAAACATTTCTGCAATTTATATTTGAGAGTGTTGTCAACAAAGTTCAGTTTGTTTCATAATAATATCCTTTTCATATACATGAATACAAGTATAAGACACCCAGGATAAAAAAGAAATAGTCATTCTGCAAAATCATTCCTGTAAGTACCGCTGTCATCTTTCGTGCACACATGCTAACACAAGATATACGCATCTTTACAAGTTTCAAAGAATATTAAAGTCTGATTTGAATCCAGGGAAGAACTGGAAGTCCTGTTAAGAGGCATTCCTCAGTAACCTGTCACAATCAGATGCAACAGAGAGAAGTTAATGAGGCTGCTGCCTGCACACACGCTGCAGACTGCAGACAGCAGCCCCAGTTGTATATTCCCATCCCGTTCCTGGTTTAAAACATAAAACTTTGGCATACTTTTAGTGCAGCTTTTGAATGTGATTTTTTTTTTTTTTTTTTTATGGAAAGCTAATAGAAAACCTTGGCACATTACTAGAGGTTTAATGAAATGGCAGCTGCTTTTCAACTGTCTCATTGCAATTCTTCCCCTGAGCCCAATCCCCTCAAGATATTAAATGCCCAAGTCTTTATACAAGTTTCTTCCACTGCCAACAGAGCTGCAACCTTTTTAAAAGTAATCACTGAGGTGAGATAACACCTAGTATTTTAATATTTACACATCTGTCATAGCTTTAAAATAAAATAAAATGACCCTTATTTTTTCCTCAAAGTGCTCAAAACCTGACTGGCAGAAACCCAGCCCTATCCTGATGCCACTAAAGCCTGCAGAAAAGCCTCTTGCGACGCTGCCTAGAGTGGGGAGAACACACCAACTTCTGTTTATCTGAATAATTGAGCACCTTTTTTTTTTTTTCCTCTTTTAACGGTTTGAAGACTGTTTCTCACTTTCCCGTAGGACTTTCTCCTAGTAGCTTCTTGTGAACTGAGCAAAGATAAAAAACATAGTCTCACAGTGTCAAGCACAACTCAACTGCCATCAGGCTTACAGGATAGTTAATATACACTCAGTGGTCTCCAATTTGAGCTGTGGCTGTGTTATTTTCTTTGACATTTGCACAAAAAACAGGGATATTGAGCGACCAAGAGAGATGTACAAATAGTACAGTGATTTTGGATCAATTGGGAAGCCTCAGGCTGCAGCACCAGCTCAATCTTGCAATGCTTAGCCAAGATGCCCATAAGAATTTCTGTTTAAATTATGTTAGTCTTCCAATTTCAGACGTGTAGTCCCTCCTCATTTGCATTTGAAGGATACATGCAGAATCCATACCATTCCAGAAAACGCACTGAAAATCTCACCTTAATGAAAGAAGTTCTTGGTGCAAGTTTGTTTTGCACAGGTCCAAATTGCAATAAATCAAAATAATTGTTGCCAAAGCACAGCCACATTCCAAACCATTTTACTAAGCAATCCGCTGTAACGCCTTTTGAAAAGTATTTATATATGTCATATTACCATTCCTTTTTATGTGCAGCATACCGTTTTCCAAGAACAGAAAAAAAGCTTTACGTAGAAACAGTTCTTAGTAACCACAGCAGGAATGTAGGAGACCAACAGCAACGCATGCAACAGACTTACTAGTCAAAAAAGAAAAGCCATTGGAATCAGCTCTTCTGACTAAGCAATTTCTCTGAAAGTATGCACGAAGCACAAGGGACAGCAAAAAACAAAAAGCCTGAATTATCCAAGTCCTTCAAACAGAAAGAACTGTAACTCTGCTTCTGAGTAGCTGCTGACTGGAGATACAGTCTCTCGATTCCCATATTTTTGGGCCGAGTGCGGATAAGCACCATGCTTTGCATTCTTGGCAGATGCTAAAGCTTGTATCTGCCTTCTAGCCTGGGAGTTAGCAAACTTTTTCATCAAACCACATTTCAGCAGAGACTGGTTCCTGGATCTCTTCCCTTCCTGTACAAAATCACATAACATTGATGTGGTAACTGCAGATGACTGTATGGGCAAGTAACATCAGGCAATTATTTTTATACATTTTGAATTATCTTTGAATGCAATTGTGCAATTGAGGAGGGCTGCAGGGAAGGAAGGAGACAGCATGACACGGCTAAATTTCTGCAGATGACAGCTGGACAGCCTTACCTCTTGCCTTTCCAAGGATCAAGCCTTAGGAAGCTGGCCTTTATTTTACAAACAATGGTCATATGAATTTGAAGCTACCCTTTTAAACATCACTTATATAACCTCCAGATTGTCATACACACGCTACAAAAAACACAGCTAATCCATTCCTTTCTAATAATAAAATATATGAAGCTACACTGCAGCAGTGGAGAGGGACAGCAGGACTCGTAACACAGCTTTGTTCAGGACAAAGCTGTTTCCTCAGTTCTGCAATTTGTGCCACACAAGAATTTATAGTGTACGCTCTTAGCTACAATGCTTCACTTGAAAAACTCTTGAAAAAAAAAATGTTTAGCGTATGAATAGACACAGAAATCTCTTCTATAATCTTCAAAAGGTCCTGTAAAATAGCATCCAGACACGACCATGAAGCCTCCATGACAGCACAATCTTTCATTTTCTACCAACTTGCCGGAAAATAGTCAGGTACCTGCCATTTTATGTGTTGTTACCTGTCTACTGCTGTTTTGTTTCCTCAGGTAACAGTCTGGACTTTGTGATCCCCTAGCTCTGCTCCACACATCCAGTGTCTTGAGGAAAGGAAAGCATAAAACCTAAAGACCTTTGATTCTTGTCTCTAAAAGGCTTTCTTAAGTCACTACATGCTTCATATCAGTGCCTTACTTGAATGCTGAAAGTACAGTTACATGAGCATTAAGCAAGCTGCTGCCAAACTGAGCACTGCCAGTCTCAACTGAAGCAATCCTGAAACTTCATTGGCACCGAATTAAAATCTTGCTCTGGACATCCTGTGTGGTAAATTATCAGGAAAGAAGAAAGCAAGCCAATGCTAGTCAAAGAGCTCTTCAATCACAGGTCATTTCTTTTATTATCTTCTTATCTCTGCTTCAGCTTTCCATCTGAAAAGTGGAGATGATATAGCCTCACCTCAGAGGCATATTATGAAAATTAATCCATTGATGTCTCTTAAACACTTTGATTGCCAGAGGAATGTTCACAATTATATTAATAATTCTGTACTCAGAGCAGGATTTGAATAGTAAGCAGTAAATCAGGCACAGAGCCTTGTAGGGAACAAGGAGGCAACAAAACATTCAACAGCTGTTTGTTAATTGAGCCCTGCTCAGCCTATGTGCAGAACGGAGCAAGGGTACAAGAACGAAGTAAGAGAATACACAACAGTAGAAATGTGATCACACCCCCAGAGACCGTAATAAAATGCACAGGTAATGAAACCAAACTAAAATACAATGGGAACTTAAAAAAATACACAAATAACAGATAAATGCTTGACTCTGCAGCCCTAACATGTTTTTTTACAGGAAGTTGTTTTAGGATCAATGCCCAGCACAGGTATGTCATATATTATTTACACTTACTGTTTTGTGTACATACAAAAGGAGGCAAGAAATCCAGACAATCTTTCAACTTGGGAGTATATAAATAAACTTATAATTTGGAAGTCCATGTACATCCCACTGAAAATTATGGCTTTGCCTTGCAAAATTGACATACTCTTTAGTGGAAGGTTTACTACAACACTGAATATGCTAACTTGAGATAAACAAACTACACAGACAAACTTAATTATCTCTTCTTCTAAAATTACCCGTTTTGCTGTTTCAAACAGAGAAGCCGCTTCAGTCTTGCCCACTTGTTGCACCATTTTATAAAACAAGCTGTCTTGCTCTTGAAGCAAAATGTAAGGTTCACCATATTCTTTCAGTCTTCCTGCATCTAAAACCTGTTAAATCAGCAAAAACCAACGTATTAACATAAGAAAATTAAAAACTAAGTGTTAGAGACTAAAAACCAAATGTAGGCGACTACAAGCAAGGGGGAAATGCATGCAATTTAGTACTAAAATGAATTTTGTACCCTGAAAATGAAGTACGTCCTCTTCAAACTAGTACAGCACTTTCTCAGTTTACAGACCTGTTGTACAGTTTTTAGAGTGCCCTACAGCCATTCCACCTATAGGAATCCAATGTAAAGTTATGCAGAATATGGAAATACAATGTTTGTGCAGCCAACAAAACAGCTTTCAAGATTCATTGTGTAAGAAGGAAACAAAGAGCCCAAAATGGGCTCTGAAGTAAACAGCTGTGGGTAAAAACCACGCAATAACCACCAAGACGGTTAAGGGAGAATAAGTAGGTCTTTTGAATTAGAGGAGGTGAAGATGTAATTAAAGAAAATGAGGGTGTTGTTGAAAAGATAAACAATTTCTTGCATCAGTTTTGCCAACTACGTGTTAGAAAGATACTTAACCCTGAACCTATTCTTTCTACATAAAAAAAGATGTGATGCCACCACAGGCATAGGTACCCATAAAGAGGGGAGGGGAGAAAGAAAAAAACAGAAATTAAAAATTAAAAAGTTAGCAAGCTACAGAAAATATACACAATCAAAAATATCAGAAAAAAAAGACAGGAATAAGCTGATTGAACCTCCAAGAAAATATTCTCACACTAGTGACTCAATTTAAGACTGTACTATAGCAAATATTGTGCTTACATTTTGAAAAGCCTTATGGGGTTAATTCAGGGAACTTTTAGACTAGCATGTATGTTCTGAGATAGGACAGTGATTTAGTTAAGACAGTCATTAAAACAGTCAGAAAAAGACACGCAGGTCACAGGTAGAATTTGTTCTCTACAGCATTAGCAATCACAAATCTGATATAATTCTTAATGCACCATAAGAAAACTAAAGCAGATATGGTTTATATGGATTTCCAAAAGATATCTGGTGTAACTAAATAGCTGTGCTACAAGGGACAAATCTTTTCAAGAACCTAAACAGAAACTGAGATTAGAAATACACAGTACAGTTTTCTTTGTAGAAAGCTGAACAAGTAGGAACCACATGATTCTGGCATATATGGTAGCTATGATTGTGTTAGTCATCAGAAAAGGAGGTATCAGAGAAGTGACAAACCTGCAAATGACACAAAAATGTGCAGGTAAGTCTAGGCCAGAGATTCAGATACACCTAACTAACCTAAAAGAATGAGAAACACAATAGCAGGGAAATGTCAATATTGACAAATGCAATGCACTCAAATACCTAACTGGCTTATGAATTAATGGTATTGACTCAAGAAAGAGATTTGGGTATTAGTCCACAAGTTCAGTACTTTAGGCCATGAGTAGGAGTAATGAAGTTTAAAAAGAAAGAAAAAAAAAAAAAAAAGAAGAGAGAACGAATTTATGTGAGAAAACAAAGTAATTCAGAAAATATTTTTATTCTTATATAAATAAAAAACTGAATACACATGGCATGCTATTGACAAAGATATTGCCACAAAAAAGGACTTCAAGGACTCAAAACTCAAGCCATAATTGTGGTGTACATACTTGTGAGGGGGGGGGAAAAAAAAAAAAAGGACCTCATAATTTCAGGAAAGAAATTAATAAAATGTATTGTGAGGACAACTTCCAAAATAACAAAAATAGTTTGCAAACTTGTGTTTGAAAGAAGAATCTCCAATAAGCTTGGAGGTAAATCCTTTGTCCTGTGAGGAAACTCTCCAACATGCCCTTTGCCTGCGCGGCTCCTTGAAACAAAGCACCCTGATGGCCAAGGGCACAGCAGATCTCCAAGTGGCCTGGACTCTGGTCAGTGACAAAACCCACAGCGAAGGGGCACAGTTTTGTCTGCACCACAGTGAAAATAAGGTGGAGAGATCGCTGCTGACTTGTTTGACACCAGGGACCCAACACCTGGGGAGAGGCACCCACCCCTTCCCTTCCGGTTCACTTAAGTACAGGGCATTTGAATGGAAAATAACTCAGCCAACAACAGCAGCATAATTGCATCTAATTTTATAAATCGTATGCACAGAAACCTACAAGAAGATATTTGCTAATTTCAAAAGCTCGTAACTTAGAGCATCCAGCCTATGATTTTTCTTTGCAAGTGATTTCCAGTACTGTTTGGCATTATAGCTGAAGAAAGTGCTCATGCAAAAATGTTGTAATATTAGTAATATTGCATAGCACAATATATAGTAATTTAATATACAATAGCTGCAGTATTTTACCTGCAAAGGTATAGTTGCACAGATATTTATTTTTCAATGTAATTAGTCCTATCCCATTTAATCTGATATTTAATGATTCATTACAAACATAATTTTAATCACAATCTTTTCTATACCACAGTATGTCACAATTAGGGACAGCTTCCTTAAAAATGCAATAAATTATCCTATACAATTCAACATTTAAATCTATGCCACAGCACAGAACATCTCTGGTGCCTTGTATAGCTTTCAGCATAGCACTGTATTATACAACCACTCCTTAAGAGAGGAAACAAAAAGCACCTTCATTAAATATGTCTCTTACAAAAAAAGGACTGCAACAGAAAAATAGAGGGTTTTAGAAAAATCATATTACTGCAGTATTGGAATTGTAACATTCATTTTGCAAATATCTGAAACAACCACAAACACCATCTTTCACCTCCGGAGAACCTGGGAAAAATGAAAAAGTTATTCTTCCTTGAAAAGTTTTAAACAGCCAAATCCAGAAGATGAATGGATAGAGTGAGCAGTTTCTATCTAGAAAAACCACATTCACATTTTAAACAAATCATTAACCTATTCATAGCCTTTCTTCGGGAATAAAAACAATCTTATGTTATGAAAATAGAACAACTGTAGGAAAACAAGTTGTGCTTTTTAAAAAAATCTGAAATGAAAAATAAAGGAAAATAACGAATGAAACCAAACAGACAATATCACTCCTACAAGTCAGGAATACTCTATAAACCCTGTTCACCAAGAAAAAACACTGTCTACTAACTGCTGTCATCTATGAGACAAAAGAGAAAATTTAAGCTGATTTACTTGGATACGTTTATATATTTATACATTTATTAAAAAGCGCTTAGACAAAGAGATAGGTACTCTTCTTTGAAGAAATATGTGCTGATAAAATTTAAATAAATAAATAGGTACTTTGGCTAAGGCTTTGCATACTCTTACTCACTGACTCCAAGCCAAATTAAAATCATTAGAACTTCAAAAAGCCAGCTAATCATTCAGGAAAGGTGGAATCTGGTGTTTACCAGTCACATATTTTCTGATCAACTTGCAGCGCTTATCACAGCACAATCCAACAGAATCGAACCCAGATGTGTTCCAAGGCAGTTGTACCAGTGGAACTTGATACAGAAAAGCCAGAGAAGCTTGTAGCTGGCGAAATCAGATCAGTAGGGAGATTAGAGAGGACACACACAGGAGCACTTGACTCTGAATCAGGCTGCGATTTCATCACAGACTTTAACGCAGATATTGAGAGGGAGGGATTTTGCACAAATCAGTCAACTTTTCAGCTCCTTGGTTTGACTCTTTATAAAATACACCAAATAAAGACTCATAATCATTCTGTGGGAGCTAACTGCCTCTGAAATGCTTAAGACAGCCCATAGTAAAATAAAAGCAAACAACATAAAGCTACATAAACCCAAAGTGGTCATACATAAAACCAGGGCCAGATTCTCCAGCCTCTTGCACTGGCAGCTTCTTTTAACTTGCCTGCACTGTTCTTGCCTTTGAAGTACCACCTTTACAACTTCAACAGGATTTTCTCTAGTGAAAGAGTAATTCCAAGAGCACAAAATTTACAAAACTGGTTGCTGGCGATCACGCAAAAGAAAGCATACAGGAAAATTTTTATTCAATGGAATTTGCTCACCTCCCTGGGTAAGGTGAAACCACTCTTTACCTATAGCTACCCAAGTTAGCCTTACTCAAGCAGCAATACAGACATCTTAAGTTCAAAGAGGGCTCAAATGATATATTCTTCCTGAGTAAAATCCTTGCATGCCACCTAATTCTACTCCATCTAATGTTTCATTCTTGTTGAATAGGCTGGAGCAGTGACTTTTCATCCCTGTTGTGATCTTTTCAGAAGGGTAAGTAACATGTTGGGTAAAAAACAAAACAGTTTTGAACAGCAATTGTTTGATATTTGAGGCACAGAATAACACAGAAAGAGTGAGATAAAAAATGTCAGGGAAGGACAGACAGACAATAAGTATTTGATCCTGACTGACCTGAAATGGCAAACATGAAAAGATTATTAGCCATTTAAATGTGTTGTTTATGTTAACTCTAGTTCACACAGAAGTAGTATTTGCCTATGCCACAAAAATGTTGCTGAACTAAATTTGGGTAAGATTTGACAACTACATTTTGCCTGAGCTATAACCTAAAAGGGTATTTACCCCCACCTTGCCTAGGCCTCTCCCCAAATCCCCAAACTTTGCAGTATTTCCATTCCATAGCCTCATGGTTTAATGTATTAACCAAGACAAAAAAGCAGGGGAAGGAAGACAAAAAGGAAAACATAAAATGGTGAAAAAGAAACCTGAGATCCATTTCACAAAGAAAAGAGAGAAATGAAGCAATGAACAATGAGGATACTACATCAAGATAGTCCAGTCAAGCAGAGATCGAGGCAGCAGAGCCAGGAGAACACCTTTCTCCCTGATGACTCCTGCAATTAATTTTATTGTTCTGTTGGCACAGGATTTTGGAAAAGCAAGGACTCATTTTGTAAGTGAATTTTAAAATTTTCTTTGTGGATTAATATATGTAAAAGAAGTGCCATTCGCCACAAAAAGAGAAAGAACAAGGGCCTTTAGAAACGCTGTAACAAACACCATGTACTTGCTGCTACCCATAGACACAAAAAAAGAAAGTTCTAAATCCTGCGTTTTCAAACTTTCAGC